ACCGGCTCACCCCCCCCCTGGTGATTGTAGCCGGTAACCTATTTCAGTAACTGTAGTGCTCATCAGTTAACCGCTCACGTCCCTAATGCATGTGCCCAGCGAGCCGAGGCCGTGTGTGTGCATGCTGGTGCCTCCTGTCCTAAAGCCCTGTGTGTACAGCACCTAGCATCACAAAACAACACACTGCATCCTAGGGCCCCGAGCTCGGTGCCTGTGCAAACAACACACTGCATCCTAGGGCCCCGAGCTCGGTGCCTGTGCAAACAACACACTGCATCCTAGGGCCCCGAGCTCGGTGCCTGTGCAAACAACACACTGCATCCTAGGGCCCCGAGCTCGGTGCCTGTGCAAACAACACACTGCATCCTAGGGCCCCGAGCTCGGTGCCTGTGCAAACAACACACTGCATCCTAGGGCCCCGAGCTCGGTGCCTGTGCAAACAACACACTGCATCCTAGGGCCCCGAGCTCGGTGCCTGTGCAAACAACACACTGCATCCTAGGGCCCCGAGCTCGGTGCCTGTGCAAACAACACACTGCATCCTAGGGCCCCGAGCTCGGTGCCTGTGCAAACAACACACTGCATCCTAGGGCCCCGAGCTCGGTGCCTGTGCAAACAACACACTGCATCCTAGGGCCCCGAGCTCGGTGCCTGTGCAAACAACACACTGCATCCTAGGGCCCCGAGCTCGGTGCCTGTGCAAACAACACACTGCATCCTAGGGCCCCGAGCTCGGTGCCTGTGCAAACAACACACTGCATCCTAGGGCCCCGAGCTCGGTGCCTGTGCAAACAACACACTGCATCCTAGGGCCCCGAGCTCGGTGCCTGTGCAAACAACACACTGCATCCTAGGGCCCCGAGCTCGGTGCCTGTGCAAACAACACACTGCATCCTAGGGCCCCGAGCTTGGTGCCTGTGCAAACAACACACTGCATCCTAGGGCCCCGAGCTCGGTGCCTGTGCAAACAACACACTGCATCCTGAGGCCCTGTATGTGCGTACATCACCTTCTGCCATGGGGCCTTGTTCCAGGACGGGATTTCCTGTGTGGATACGTGCACATTTGATCCACAGTCCACAAAAATGGTTCACAGACCTCCACATCCACTGATATAAAGCGGGTCTACAGATTTTCAGAGCTCTACTCTTAAGTGCTACTGCAATACGAATACGTTATAGTAATTAATTATTATTATTTATCATTTCCATCCTGCCAAGTTATGTGGGACTTTTGTGATGGGGAAGACACAGTGCTACATAGTCCTGTATTTTGCTTCACCCACTAGTGAGTCTGCAAATCTCCTCTTATTTGCAAGCTAAGAAGAGTACCCTTTCAGAGCCAGTGGGTATCAACAGGCATTGCTTCATTTTCCCCTTTGATCCATTCCAGAAGAGGCTTTACCAAATGGATCCTGAGCCCTTGGAAGTCAGACATGCCGTACGAGAAGCCATCAACACCCTTTCCTCTTCCAGGGATGGAGTCCGGATCTCGGAGGTGCTTGGTACAATTAAGTGCTATCTAGGTGGAACGGAAAACCAAGCCCCCCTAAAGGAGAGAGAGGAATTTACCCAATTGCATTTTTCTGCCTTTCTGCGAAGTCTTGTTAGTAACCTGAGTGCAGATTGGATGGAACTACTTACATCTGATCAGCAAAAGGAATTATGGGATAGCTTTTTCTTGGAAGGGCCAGCGGATCAAGCCTTTCTGGTTCTGCTGGACTCCATCATTTCTACTGGGTATGCTTGGCTTTGTTTCCATATGTGTTAACTCTAAAAGCCTGCAAACATGTTACGTCCTTTGCACTAAAATTCCAAGCTAGTCAGAAGATCTGGCAACCATGGCTTCGGTTTAGTTCAGAAAAGACTTCTGTTTGTAGCCGTGTCTCTGAGGCATGCTAACTTTCTGGACATTTTCAGGGCTTCAGTCTGGGTTTTGAGTATGGGCACTGGCCTGCCTATACCATACATTGCAATTGTAAGGATATGACAGAACAATGTGTTCGAATCAGGGGAAGTAAGCAACTAGTAGATTATCTGATAAGCATAAGCTTATCAGATAGTTGACTAATGATGTGACTAGTTGCTTCCCCCCCGTGCTGCCTTTTTTAGAGAGAGGCAGCAAGGCAGGGGTGCAGGTGCTAATGCTGGGGGGAGCTGGCTGAAAAGCTGGTCGTCCCCCCCAGCACTGACCCCACATGGGGCAGGGGAGGTAGAGGCACAGGGGGAAATGGCATAAGCGGGGACTGAAGCACTCTTCACTCATGCTGCTTCTGCTGCAATTCTGCTCTTGAAATGTGTAAGTGGGGACTGAAGCACTCTTCACTCATGCCGCTTCTGCTGCAATTCTGCTCTTGAAATGTATGAGAGACCCAACAGGGCTCTTGTACATTTCAAAAGCAGAAGCCCCCAGGGAGCATGGGACAAGCAGGGGACTCCCCCTGTGGGGCTTCCTTTTGAAATGAACAAGCGCCCCACTGGGTCTCTTGTACATTTTAAATGCTCAGGTGCTGCAGGGAGCCAGTACCCTGCTGGCCGTGCACTCCTATGGGGCTTCCGTTTTTGAACGGTAGCAAGAGCCTCGTAGGGCTCTTGCTACAGTTCAAAGGCAGAGGCGCCCTTTTAGACTGTTCAAATAGTTGATGGAAATCCCATTGACTGTTTGGCTAGTTAATTGATCTAAGTTTTACATTGCTGAATCAAATCCCCAGGCTCAGATGTAGTTGGGGCATAGAGAGGCCTTAACACATCAAAGGTATTTGTCGACCACCCAGGTAAGCCTCATCCCAGGAGGCATACCTGGGTGGTCGACAAATACCTTTGACACCCGCGCGTCCAGACTATCGCGCTGAGCCGACAAACAGCTGATCAGCTCAGCGCGGCAGTCATGTAAATTTAAATGAAGCGGTGATTATTTAAATCGTCGCTTCATTTTACTAAGTCTGGTAGCCTAATCTACATGCCCCTTAGAGTCCAAAAGTAGAAGGTATAATACTATATTTATAGAGGGTTGTGATATGTTTAAAACACTGCGAAGGGAACCAGGAGACCTGACTTCTATTTCTAGTTCTGCCATTGGCTTCCTGTGGTACCTTGAGAACTTTGAAATGGTTCTTGCCCATTTCCTGGGGAGGTGTGAGGCTGAATTTGGTAACGTGTGTGGAGAGCGATGAGATTCAGGGAGGGAAGGAGCTGTACGGGCAGGATTAACTCACTGCTAACCTTCAGCTACTTTCTGGTGCTTTGTGGCACTATGCCGTAGCTGATGGGATCACCACAGACAGTGGCATGATCCTCTTCGTTCATTAACTGTGTGTGTGTGGGGGGGGGGCTATTCATTTTTTTTCCAGTCCTGGCTTTCGCTTGATGAAGCTCATTAGCATCCTGGAACAGTTTCTGCAGCTGGGAGGCATGTCGGCTCTCATGTGGGAGGTCTGTCACCAGCAGGCACAAGCTGGTTCACCCACATTCCAAGAGACCCTCCTCAACAAAGTTGTGTGTCTGCCTGACCACTTGTGCAACAAACTCCAGGGGAATAATTTGCCTGTATTCTTCCCACAAAACTACTTCCCTCTGCTGGCTACTGAAATTATCCAGGTGTTGCAGAGGATCTGTGACTCTCTGCGAGGTGAGATTGCAGACCAGCTGCTGCTGTACTGAGCGAGTGAGAACACGAGGGGAGGCTTCCTGATAAGCTGCCCCCAGAAAGGTGCTGATGGCAAGTATTTCATTAAGCATGTATCTCATTTTACCACAGGTGGCTTGGACTGTTCTGTCTCCTTCGTGTCACAGGTGCTGGGGAAGGTGTGCATGCATGGGAGACAAAGTGAGTGCCAAGCCTGGCTTTGGGGTAAAGGGTATGACAGAATCACACCACTAAGGAACTGAGAATGTGATTGGGTGGTCAGTATCAGAGAGAGGTCTGCGTTCCTCTCTGAGGCAGCACAGCTGTGTATCTGCCACCCAGCTCTCTTGCCTCCTGGCTGATTCGAGTGTGTTCTCTTCTCCTCCCATAGGGAATGAGATGCCAGCTTAAGGTTCTGAGAATGCATTGTAATCACTAGTATGTTAAAAATCACAGGCCCTAAATAACAGGCTGTGTGTGTCTGTGTGTGATGAGCCTTTGTTTTGGTTTCACAGTGTTTTGGAGCAGGTGATGGCTGCATGAAACAGATGGGGAGGTTAGGAAAGGGGTTCCAATGTCCTACTTCAAACAAGGAATTCCTGGAAGCTACTGCCAAGCTATCCTGCAGTGACTTGAGAGCAGGGGTACAAACCACAGGCCAGGTTGATAAGAAGCAAGGCACAAACTCCAAATTAGTTGTGAGTTCTATACTTAGATTTCACCAGCCAGTTATCAAATGTAAATTCCTCAAGTGCTAGAACACCCGTAAAGCCAGTTAGCAAATGTAAATTCCTCAAGTGCTAGAACACCCGTAACTGGATCCACAGACCGTCCTCCATCATGCTGTCATCTGTTTTGCCTCTTAGGTAAGCTTTCTTTTGTGATAGATGGTTCCTTACCTCAAAAATCACAACAGTATTTAGTTAAAAAAACAACAAATAGTCTGGTAGCACTTTAAAGACGAACAAATTAGGTTACTCCCATTCACTTGCACCTAATGTCTCACACCAAAGACAGCTCATAATTTATTATAGGATTGGCTATAGCTAAAAATGTATTCACTACAAAATGGAAACGCATTTTTTACAAGGTTAAAAGAGGTCAATGGATATATACACACAAACTTGAAACTTGAGATTAGAATGTAATAGTAGCTTCTGTAATAAGCAATCTCTGTATAGCCTTTAGGGATAGCTCTGGCCAAGACCTGAGAATCTTTTGCTCATGCTTAGTAACCCTTGCGCCTCAGAGCGTAAGCTGCACAAAAGATTCAATTCCTTCTTGTTAGGGTTTTTTATTCCTTTCCCCTCTTCTGCAGAATCAATCCCAATGATTTCTTGGGAGCAAATTACTTGCATATTTCCTCTTCGCGTGGGGTAGAGATGTAAAGTTCCATGTAATCAATTCACCGATATAACGTTTAACTGGTTAATCACTTATACAGGATGAGTGGAGTACCCCCTGTCCACTGCAGACCCTGCTGGACTGGACTAGTCCCCCACCAGTTAACTGCTAACCATTCACATACCTACTGAGGGGTGGGGTTGTGAGGGAGCAATCAGCAAAGTGTTTTGTCCTCTGAAAACATTTCCTGTAGGAAAACTAGTATTTCAAACTTGTTAGTTCTTCTCTTCTCTCTGGTGATTTACAGTTGTAGAGCAAGCACTTACGTGTTACTTTTGTAGCAGTGTTTCTCAAAGGGGTTGGCGGATCCACTCTGTGAAACCTGCTAACTGGCCGCTCCAGTTTATTTACGGACTATGCAGCTTCGCAGCTCCCTTGGCTCTGGTTTGCTGTTTGCAGCCAATGAGGCTCCGTGGCTGTGGAGCTGGTAAATAAACAAACCAGAGCGGCCCGTTAGCAGGTTTCTCAGAGTGGATCCATGGACCACTTGGAGAAATGCTGCCTTAAAGCATACAGACATAAATGCGATTAATGCACGCAGCCTCTTACAAACATTTCATAAAGTGTAAACACTGATCACACCCTTATCGTTCTCATTCCTACTGTTTAACACACAGGCAAATACACAGCTGGAACCAGTCTGATTCACCTGTGCTCAGTTGAGACACATGGCGTGAGCTCCCACCTGCTCTGCCAGTATCTCTGCTGCTAGGGCTACACGTGACAGTCTAGAGGAACCGGCAGGCAGGGCACACCCAGGAGAAGAATTGTGTGTTGTATCCCTGGGGAGAGCTTGTATTGGAATGGGCAGTAGCAGCCAGAAGCCTCCGGCTCTTCTGAATCCCTGGGGTCTGCCCTTCCTCCCTCCCGCCCTTTACATCCCTACCCCCCGTGAGGAAGAGACGTGGAAGCGATTTAGCCAGGATGGGCAGGGAGGTGTTCCTGGCCTCTATTTGTCAGAGGCTGGAATGGGTGACGGGAGGGATCACGTGATGATTCCCCGTTTCTGTTCACTCCCTCTGGGGCACCGGGACAGGACTCTGGACTGGGTGGATCTTGGGTCTGACCCCGTGTGGCCGTTCTCATGTTCTTGGAAGGGGCATTGTCTTCACGTGTGTCTCTCCAGAAGCAGCCTGATTTTGTAAATCACTGTGCAGTGGGCTATTGCCCCAGCTCCCTCCAGTCAAAGATTCCTTCTGTTCTCTCCCAATGCAGGAGAAATTCTGAATAAGCTGGTGCCCTGTCTAGTGGAGCTCACCGAGGCGGACTGCGTCTGGCAGAGGGTGTGCTGGCGACTGGTGGAACGTGTGCCAGATCGCTGGATGGAAGCTGCAGTCTGCGGCTTTGTTCAGACAGCACCGGGGTAAGGAATCAAGATGTGGGGGAGAAGGATTCTAACTGCACCTGTACGCTAAAGGCGCTTAGACTATGTGCCATCTTTTTACATGGCACCACTTTCTGGGAGAGTTGGGACTGGACTAGCTGGTGATTCCTTCGTGTCAGTCCTTGAGCACCATTTCATACAGCACTAGGGTACAATAATCCCTTCTGTAGATGTGTGGCAGCATGGCATGGAAGCGGTTTGGTTGATCTGCAACGCTTGGTCATGTTTCAAATGGGCAGCAACTTACAAAATCATGATCTGATTGAAATTGGCCTGAAGCAGTTCAGAGAAATGGCTCCCTGACAGATGGCTGCTGACCTGTCTTGCTAGGGCGGATGTCTTGTCTCGATTACTGGGGAACCTGGTTGTGAAAAACAAGAAAGCTCAGTTTGTGCTGACCCAGAAGCTGCTACTCCTGCAGTACGGCTGTGAGGTAAGGGCGCTGCGTTGCGGTAGGGGGAGTAAACCCTCCTGGCTCTGAAGGCCAACATCTGTCAAAGTGCTGAATTCTTGCCCAAGTAAGCCAGGGATTTAGAAGAGTCTGAGGGTCCTGGCTGCCACTACTGTGGGCCCTGATCCATCTAGAATCCAGGGGGAAGACTGGGAGCAAGTGTGACCCCCCCCTCCCCCACACACACACCTAAGAGGAGAGGAAGGAGGAGTGCACTGCAGTGTTCCCTCTAATTTTTGTTAGCCATGTGTGGAATAAATGCTGTTATATGCACTGAAGTATATGCAGATGTGCACCATCACTAGAAAAACATGCTGCCAGCTGTGGGTGCTCTGCTAATCAGCTGGGCAGCACTTAAATCTCTCCTGGGTGGCTGCCCAAGTGCTCCGCTTACAGGGAACGCTGGTGTGCTGGAGGAGAGCTCTGTGCTCAGTTTGGAATGATCTGTATCCTCTGAGGTTGGAGAGAAATGATGTGGAGGTGAACGAGGGCAATAGGGGAGCATGAGCCCAGGAGGGTGGAGAATGTGATGCCTTATGTTCTGGAGCATCGACTAGTCTGGATGGGGGAGGGTAGGACAAGATTTCCCGATTTCTCCATGTTTCTGTTCTATAATAGGAGCGGTATGTTAACTGAGACTTGCTGTGCATGGATTGGCTGCCACTACTGGGGTTTTTACTAGAAGCCCTGTCTTGGGTGCCACAGATGTCACTGAAATGGTTTGATCTGAAATACCCAGCCTGGAAGTTCAGCTCTAACTGTTCTGAGCGCTGTGGGCTTGCTTAACCTCTGCGCAGTCTTTGGGCCCTGAAAACTCTGATCCAGTCCCTCAGAATGAGGCGGGAGCGCGTGTGTGTAAGGTCCTTGCTGCCTGTCAGTGTGACTAACCCCATGTTGTCATTGTAGACTGCAGTGCTCCAGAGCCTCCTTGGCTACCTGGCCCTAGATGGCCTTCGACGTTCCTTATTGATCAAGGTGAGGGAGCTGTATATTGAGTTTGAACGTTTACTCCCTGTCCCCGGTCCGGGCTGCGCGAGGGGCGCTAGAGCATGTCCCCCCCAGTGGTCCTGGGCAGAGCTGCATGGCCTCATTCAAAGCCTAGCAGAAAAGTCCTCTTCCTAGGCGTGGCTGCCCGTCTGTCTCCTCTCTAGAATAATAAAATGGCCACTGGGGGGTGCCCCCTTCACCAGGCCACAGTCCTTCCACAGTTTCTAATGATCTGTTGTATTTCTGTAACCCCTACACCGGTGGTCTCCCAGCAGCACCACTCCCCTGGTTGGGAGGCTAGTTTGACCCATTCCGTTTTGTGGAGAAGGGGAGGGGGAGAAGTGATTTGAAATGACTTCTCCAAAGAGAGCAAGTCAGGGACAGGTGGAAATAGGCCCCTGAAAGCCAGCCCTGTGTGCTTGTAAGAGCCTCCTCGTGGTTTCTAGGGCAGTAGAGCAGAGAGCCTGTTCTGAGGTCTGAGTGGGAAGCCGCTAAGTGAAACGTAACAGTCGTTTTCTTGGTGTTTCTGATAAGCCTTTGTAATACTAAGCTCCTCTTAGCTCTTCTTTCTATTCGCGATTTAAGAGTTTTTTAAAACGTGTTCCTTCAGACAGTGCAGATCCATTAACACCAATTTTAGCCAGCACGGGGGAGGCAGCGAGCTACAATGCTGTGGGGAAGACGTATTCCTTATTGCTTCAAATCATTCTCAAGCCACACCTGAAGCACTGGTGAATGGCTCTGAATCCAGAGACATTCTGCTGTGATGCAAGGGGAGGAGCAGAGAGACTGGCTTTCCCATCAGAATGGCCAGGCTGGGTCAGACCAGAAGTCCATGTAAACACAGTGTCCTGTCTGCCCACAGTGGCCAATGCCTGGTGTCCCAGAGGGAGTGAACAGCACAGGGAACCACCCAGTGATCACTCCCTCTTGCCCATTCCCAGCCTTTGACAGAGTCTAGGGACACCAGCCCTACCCAGCCTGGCTAATAGCCACTAATGGACCTACCCTCCATGAATGTAACCAGCTCCCCTTCTGTAACAGCCGTTCTCTTAGACTGGTTTATTCCACTGAGCTGCGTAACTGCGACTTGGGTCAGTTTCTGTGTAGCCGGGTCCATGGCAGCCTGACTCCATTGGGCTGCGACTGGGATGTTCAGAGCTTGGACATCGGGGTCAGTCCTGTGTGTTTGATGGAGAATGTGGGTGGCTGAGAGGCTCCTGCTACTGACTTAGGGATGTGGGTGTTCAAGTTCTTTTACAAACACTTCAGTTACTTCTGCCCTGCACACGGAGGGGAGCGGACGAAACACTGCGTTTTGGGGGTGGGGGTAAGCCTAAAATAAATAGAATGTAATGTAAAAATCAGGCTTTTGCATCGACTCTGTTAGTCACTATCCTATTGCATTGAAAACCTGGAGCTGACCCGGAGCTTCCAGCCCCAGAGCGCTAGTTTGGGAGGCCAGGGGGAGCAGCAGCCATGCATACCTGGACACCACTTGCTTCTTTTCCTGTTCCCCTGACTGTCAGGGAGCAAGGAGAAAGTATGCGGATGTTGTGAATTACTCCTCTGCCCTCTCCCTTTGCCAGCCAGAAGTGAAAGGCATGCACAGAAGCTGTGTACTTTCCCCTCACTCCCTGATAGATAGGGAGCCCTGTCCTGGTGTGCATGGCTGCTGTTCCCTGCCCTCCCGAAATGGTGCCCTGGTTCCAGCCAGCAGTACTGGAGGCCAGCTCCTGTCCTAGAGCTGTTGGATATGCCAGTAACTGCTCTGATGGCAGAGGTATGGAGATGGGAAGAGGCCCTCACAAGGTACGTGACTGGTTATGCTGTGTGGAGGGTAGGGTTTCCTTAGGTCGGCTGGCTGGGAGAGGGGTGGGCATGTTTGTGAGTGACTTTCTGATGCAGCCCTACCCCATGCCCTCCGGCTAATGCTGTACACTCGTGATCCAGGTGCTGAGAGAGCTTCTGGAGACCTGGGGCAGCAGCAGTGCTGTGAAGCACTCTCCCGTTGAGCAACAGCTGCATATTAGCAAGGCCATCCTGATCTGCCTCGCCCTCTTGAAAGAGCCTGAAATAGAGAACAACGGACAAGGTGAGGGAGGAGGAAAAGAGCAGCGAGAACAGAGGCCTCCATTGGATTCAGAGGAAGTGCCCAGCGCTCACCGTCAATGCTTGTGCAGTCAGCCTGCCCTCCCTTCACGTGGGCACTTCAGTAATATCGGCAGGGGGGGGACCAGCAGAGTCTGGCAACCCTGCATGTGGGCAACAGTAATCAAAACGTCCTGCTCGCTGTCGGCTGGTGCTCCCCAGACGTGTGCCTGTATCCAGCTGGTACCTCTTGTCTGATCATACCACTGCAGGCAGGGCAGGGCAGGGCAGGGCCATTTTTCACTCTGTGTCTGAACAGTGCCCTGAGCAATGGGGTCTGGGTTCAGCCCAAGGCTTCTGGTGCTACCACAAAATGAATATTAAATAAGGGTAATTCAGCACCTGCTGGGTGCACTTTCATGGAGAACATAAGAACGGCCGCACTGGGTCAGACCAAAGGTCCATCTAGCCCAGTATCCGGTCTGCCGACAGCGGCCAGCACCAGGTGCCCCAGAGGGGGTGGACCGAAGACAATGATCAAGCGATTTCTCTCCTGCCATCCCTCTCCAGCCTCTGACAGACAGAGGCCAAGGACACCATTTTATCCCCTGGCTAATAGCCTTTTATGGACCTAACCTCCATGAATTTATCCAGCTTCTCTTTAAACTCTATTATAGTCCTAGCCTTCACAGCCTCCTCTGGCGAGGAGTTCCACAGGTTGACAACACGCTGTGTGAAGAAGAACTTCCTTTTATTAGTTTTAAACCTGCTACCCATTAATTTCATTTGGTGTCCTCTAGTTCTTCTATTGGAGACTTTGAAAACATAAGTTCTATTTATTAGAAAGCAAGTGTGTTTCATTCCAGCCAACCCAAGAGTCTTAACTCCTGGCCTTGTATAGATACTCCCGTGTTAGTGAATGATCCGGTTTCTCACTGGCTGGTGTTAGATGTCAGCTTCTATTGGTGACTAACGGTCAACCTGCCACCTCTTAGAACCTGTCTGGGGAGGTGGAAGATGCTGCCACCAGCAATGGGTTTAGGAATGCCAGTGGTAATTACCTGTCACAGCTCAAGCACGTGGGGAGAAATAGTCCTACCTCTGTGAGCTCCATGTGGATGCAACTTCCATAAGAAGCCGGCCAATTTTGCCTGTCAAAGCAGTTTTAAAGCCTTTGGATTTATGCCTGGGATTAACCATTGTGCTTGGCTTCAAAACCTAGCCCTGGTGCATGCCTTGCTGACAGGATGGGGAAGGAAACTCTTCAGTAGAAAGAGAAGTGCTCTCACGCCGGGCCTTTGTCAGCTTTTGTGCCTCTAGTTGGAGCTGTAGCTAAAGATGGGGACTCTCAGTGGGTGTGCTGCCCAGGAGGGGTAGTGGGATGGGTTCTGGAGTGGCCTAGTGGATAGGGCATTTGCCGGTGGCGCACAGGGTGGTGGGTTCGAGTCCCATTCAGCCTTGGAGCAGCCAGACAGCCAACACCAGTTTCCCCAGTGATGGAGCAGGCTCTGGTATTAGGAAGGCAGGATAAGGGATACCCTGAAGGTAGGGAGGTGGGATGGGAGCTGCCCCAGGGTTTGACCTGGCTCTCCAATGGGAAGGCAGGATAGGATAAGAGATGCCAAGAAGGTAGGGAGGTGGGGTGGGTTCTGAAGTGGCCTAGGGGATAGGGCATTGGCCAGACATGCTGTGCTCACTGTGCTGCTTGTCCTTTCAGAGCTTCTTGCCAGCATGATGGGAGGCATGAAATGCCACCTGGACAGCAGCTTGCCCCGGGTTCGGCGCCTGGGAATGGTGGTGGCAGAGAGCATCAGTTCCAGAATAACCACTGATGGGCCCCGCCTGCAATTCCAGGTGAGATTCCTGTGCTGCCTGTCTGTGCAGTGCAGGGCGAGGGGAAACGTCCCCTTTGAGGCAGTGGTTGGGTTGTGGCTGTCATTGCTGAGCTCTGCTTGCTGGACGGGAAGGGGGCAGAACGCCTCCGATCCATGGGCTTGCATGGAGGGTGTGGGGAGAGGTGTGATTGGAGAGCGTGAGTGCGCATGGCGCCTGGAGAACTCTGACGAGACAACAGGGTTTCGCATTCAAACTCTGGCTGGATTTCCACATGGTGTGTCATTGCCATCCAGGAGAGCCTTTCTACTGCCTTCGGGGGAGCTGAGTGGAGCACCCAGGAGGGGTGTTGGGATTTTCAAGACTGAGCAGGGGATTGGGTCACTTGCTCCCCGTTCGTTTCCATAGGAATTGTGTAGCTTAGTTCCCTCCCTGGCTTTGAGAACCTCAAGGGCTGCTGGCCCAGTGTCCGCTGCAGTG